TGTGGAACGTGTGAACTAGGAGTTGGGTATGAATGTGACTCGGCTAATGTTGTCTTTGTTCTTTGGACTGTGCCAGTCTGGCCGGGAAACGGGCGAAACGGCAGCTGGCGTAGAACGATACCTAATTTCAGGTGATCGAATCGAGTGAACAGCATACGGGATTGGTGAAAAAGGCCATCGTCGCCGTAAGCCACAATGAGCCTTATCGTGTGAACTGGGTGGATTGTGTTTAACTTGGTCGAAATGCGTGAGGTGCGGTAATCCTGAAAGAAGTGGATTTCACTACCTACGATGGCCAAGTGCTTTGTGTCGACACATTGATTGTGTTTTGTTGTTCACTGTTCGATTGATAGAATTTGGATGCTTTTGCCCATTGTTCTTGGTTGATCGTCCTTCAGAGTTCCCACCTTGCGCCAAGACACTGCATTATTTCAAGCAATACGCAAGTGAAGCAGCAGCTTATAATAAAAATCAGGTTGGACGGTTATGTTCAAAATTCGATGACAATATGGAAATAATTAAGGTAATTTTTCACCTCGATTTCAACAGTTTTTGCTTGTCAACCGGGTTCAGTTCGCGTTGGGAAGCCTCAGTATGGTTCGGGTTGGGTTTCTGGGATTGTGACTGGTCAACGTTCCCTAATCTCGCGAAATGCTCCTATATATGACCAAGCGTCTTAAAGAGCCCCTGGTGAGGAAGCCCTCCTCGTTGCGGAGGTGTTTTCCCACCAAAGTGAGTGAACGTTAAACCAATACTCGGGTGGGTGAACCACTGGCAGTTTACCTAGGGTAGTTGGCTAAAAACCCAGATTGCAAACCAACCAAGAAGAGGCGTACAAACCACACGGCAGCGGTCACCGGCTCAATTGGGCATCAAGGTGTATTGGACACTTTGGATGTTTGACCCCGTCCAAAAGGCAATGAACTGGACACCGGGTCTCAATGGATTGCGAACTCTGAGCTCCGTCCTGTTACCTTGCAGGTCTGGCTTTCTAGCCAAAGGCTTCGGGTGGGAACCCCGAGGGTATCTCCCTTCGTCAGCCAGGGCAACCGGAAAGTAACATGAACACATTCTTCAGATTTGTTTTTGTCCATGCGTTGTGGCACATGTGCTAGTCCTCTGTAAGTGTTTACGTGTTGAAATAGTATAATAAATGTAATCATTCGAGGCAGGTTGTTGGTCTGTGACATCGGTTCATTTAGCTTTCTAGATCATGTGATTTAGNCCCATTTCTAATCCCCTAACATGGGGAATGTAAGCACGTGAATAATCTCATATTCCATGGGCTATCATTTTTTGATTTGCTCATGAGACAAATTGTTGATCGCTTACATTCTCAAACGCGTGAAGCTGAAAGAATATGTAATGTTCATCTGGCCGTATGCGATACGGTGTGCACCTTTTAAGCGACNGATACACAATAATTCCAACTATCATGTCTGTGTAAAGCCACTTGGATATGTTCTCTGATGCTTCGTATTTATTGTTTAGATGGCTCCAGGGTGAATTACTGAAGATTCATTATTGCGCGGAAGTGTTTTGCTTTGAATGATACGATCGGTATCCTTCAGAGATGAAAACACAAGTCCTGTCCATTTTCACAGTTCTGTTCAGGAACATGCTTTCTCAGTGAAACTGATTTCCCGGAGAACAAGTCAAGTTTTAATGTATCTGATCAAAAATATACCGATGTTGTCCATGAGCTGTTTAAACTCGTGTTTGGTGATTGGTGTAATAATATGCTCGACGAATTGACAAACAGAAAAGTTATAAGAAATAAATAGCGGCCCAATAGAAAGACCAGACGAAACAATGTTAATCGTGAATGATGAAGATAAATGTGGAACGTTAAACACGATCTGAGTTTAATGTTGACCGGACAGGTGTTTCCATGGTTTATTGAGCCACTACTTGTACGATTCGAGGGTTGAAGCAAAACTAACTTCGAGTGGAAAAGAGATCCAGTTAGTACATACTCTGACTCGGAAAGAGTAACGCCGGCAATATAGCCGACACTTGTGGAACACCGGAATATCTCCTGAAGTGATCAGTCCTAAATAGTGTCAGCAGGGTATCACGCGGGTTGCAAATAAATTTTACACTACAGGTGAGTTTGAAAAATAACTTGCTGAAACCTATTGCTTATAAATCAGCACACATTCGTAAAAATATGATAAAAATGCATTGTTTTGAAAGTTGTCATTGATTTTTCGATTTTAAGCCCTGAAACAAACTTTTGCACATCTTTGCAAGTGTCAATCATTCAAATAATAATTTTATTAGTACTACGAACATTCAAAGAACAAAATGCGATGGAACCGTTGTTTGAACCTTTTCGTGTACGTCATCCCAATGGGCTTATTAGATAGTCACAACAATGCAAAAGATTTACGCTATGGAGAATTTGGTACATGGTGAAGATAGACGTTCTGAAAGCTTCCCAGAAATCATCAATAAGGATATATTTGCCCTGAATGCTTGTCCACTTCAATAACAGCCGCTTCCCATTGCCACTGCGTGGGGTCTTCGAATTGGCCGTGCCTTGTGGATTACCAGTGCTGCCTTGATGTTTTATTTATCTTCCATTATACGATTTGGATTCGCGTGCGCCAACATCACGATGTCGCTACGGAAACAGTCAATAATTTACGAAAACCATGCAAATATAAGTAGAAATGGTTAATAATTACGCGGCTTTTCTCTTCTGATTTCAGGAGAGATGAATGGAAATGGTTTGTGCACAATACTCTCGACAAACGGCGCAAGCAGCAAGCAATTTAGTTTTATCTGGGAACAAAGATCATAAAACAATGCCTGTATATGATGCTGTCCGTACTTGTGTGCTCCAGCTGATTCTAATAATCAGTGCTCATCCTGCATTTGTCAGATTATCCTGGATGTGCAATTCAAATTTATTGAGAATCTTGTCGCCACTCGTGTGGACAGCTCATCGAGCAGGAAAGTGAAAGTTGGTAGTGTTTTCATTTACGTTAGCAATCATTGGTGTACCATGAATGAGTGCATATTCACTTGAAACAACACAAATATGCACCGGCTTTCACCGCGAAATCGTGTTTCCTAGTGAAACTAATATATAGATAATCACATTCAACCCCTGGTTGTGCTCTATTAGAAAGAACACTTAATGGAAATATTCTATTTTTTGGAAAGTTGGAAACATCGCTTTTTACCCCCTTTGATATATTGAACTGAATTTTCAGTTTTTGCAACCATTAACACATAATTTTCACGCACCTTTTTTGGTTGCTGTCTTTTGACTGCCAGTTTGGATAAAATAGCAGAGAGAAGAGTGAAATGAGGTGAGCAAAGTCAAGGCAGATAAGAAAATTAACACGGACTAAGGTTGCAAAGATACGGAGTAGATGCCCTAGCGTCACTGTTTGCAACACTTAGCATATCACTCAGTGTTTTTTACCAACGGTTACCATGACATCATCCAGGGGCACTGACGTGACTTTGTAA